CAGTCCCTCTAGCCAGTGTGTTAGGTAGCTCAAATAGGAAATGCCCACATATTTTTTTTCCTATTTTTTTCATTTTTTAAACAGATCTTCTAAATCAAAGCTTGAAGCTATACAAAAATCCCAATAAGAATCCCATGTGCTAGGTTTCCTACTGTCAGGCAGTTAAAATCATTGATAATAGAGGCTCAATGGGAAAACAATCCAAAAGATTTAACATGCAGCTAATGCATCCTAACTTTGAAGATTCAAAGTAACACGAAAAATCCATTTATAACTTCCTAGCAGAAACATGAACTGAAGTTCCCTCGCAGAAATCTAACTTTTCTTTAAGAGCAGTTGGTTACAAAGCATCCTACTCAGAACTGTTTGGTTTGGATTTTTTTTTTTCTTCCTACGAGAAGGGCACATAAGCCGTACCAAAACACATTTGACTCAAATAGCCTAGACAGCTACTAGATTTTATTCTAAACAACTAAGGATTAATTTGGATTGCAAGGAAAAAAAGTAAGTCCTAAGCCAGCACTTACCTAACGAAAGCAAGGAACTGAAACTCAGCAGCACTGAAAAGAATACCCAACAGAGACCAAATATAGCTTCAACATACATTCGTGGTCTGTCTAGAAATGCCTTTGATGTTAAACCTCATATGGCACACTTAGCATTTTTTATAATTCATTTCCTATGGAAACTAATGAGCTTAAGGGTGAAATTACCTCATTGAAAGTCAAAATGGTGAAGTGTGAAGAAGAGAAGGATGACCTGAAAAGCAGATTTAGAAGCAATCTTTGCATATTAAGCATTGCTGTGGGAAATAGTATAATTAGTTTTCTTCAGAAGTTATTCCTTGGAATTGTGTAAGTGGTATTTCAGCTCCCAAACATCATGCAGAAAGAATGTTAGATAAAATAGGTGGAAAAAATGCAAAATCCCCACACATTCTTTTTAAAACCAAGAGATCCTTTTCCTAACTTCCAGTAACACAGTGACTGGTGGTTTATTTTTAGAGGGCAGACTGCAAAATAAGGCCCTCTTCCAGCAGAAATTTCTAAGAGGCCATAAGAACCCAGATTTTCAGAGCATAATTTAGAATTGAGCATTCTCTTCTCAAATGCCTAACTCCTTTTACTTGAATCGATTTATTTCCCTAAGCTCTTGCTGTGGGCTAAGCCATCTGCGCTGCACAGTTCTACTGAAGACTAGGAATCGATACAAAATGGATGTATTTTGTTTGCAGAATGAATAAGCTAATGATTGAGTGTCAAATACCAAATTTTTTCTATTAACTTCAAGGAAAAACAGTATCAGAGCTTAAACACAAACTATCCTCCACAATTGCTGATTCAAATACTTGAGTCACACTGAGAGCTCTCAGATTGACACTGACTGTTGAAATTAGTATATCGTCAGCTATTCCAGCTGCAAAAGGCCGTGTATTATATTCTCTTTCTCACAATCATGCTACCATCTATCTTTATTCTTTACGGAGGAAGTGCCTGAAGACCTCGGGCTGTGTCAGAAATGATCACTTGATAGGGCATAAATCCAAAATCAGCAGCTTCCTCAAACTGTATTAGTTACAAGTCATTTGTTGGCATAATGGAGTATAAAACACTTAAATCCACCAATGTAAGTGCCGGGCAAGCCAAAATCATTATAAGTTTTTGGGGCTATCAGCTTGTCTTTATGGCACGCAGAACAACATAGCATTTTCACTTTCACATTACTTAACCATGAGTTTGAATTTGTCTTAAATTTAGTCTGAAGAACACATGACAGCTGGTTTAAGAACAGCAATACGGATTAGCTACAACATTAAAGGATATCCAGCTTCAACTGTGGGAATGGCAGCAGCGCAAAAATCCTGGGATGCTGAGCTGCAATTTGAAGCTTAATAACTCTGGCATCGCTGTCTCCCACCTCAGATAGAACAAGGCGCAGACGACTACTCTTATTTACTCAGCAAGGGAAAACTTCTATTCAGAAAAAGTTCTATTAATAGTAGCCATTTGAAATCTTATCATTTACATAAATTAGATCCTTGTAAAGACGAACAGAATGTAACAATCATTTTCTCTAGCCTGCTGTTAAATAAGTGGTATAATGCTTGTCACTTCAGTGTTTATAGTGTCGCAAGAAATTAAAATGGTATCCACTTTTTTAAGAGTAGTGAACTTTTTTTATTTACCTGCACCTTGAAGTCATCTTGTTGACAAAAATTAATTCTACTTAATAGTTTTTCTCTTATATCATTCTGTAGAGATGCTGATGATTCTTTGTGATGTCATCTGATGCTTATAAGAAGTTCTCTCAAGAATTTCTTGGAATGACACAAACACTCCTGTCTTCTTCAGTCACTAAAAGCTCAAGGATGATATTTAGTTGTAAAATCTCAACACTCAAATGCAAGCATGAGAAAGTGTTGCATACATCCATTTCTGTGGTGGGAGAATATGCCACAGAAGAAACAGACAACTTGAGTGATTTTTTTTTTTAAATTTTTTTTTTAATTAATAACTTCTTAGTTCAGGAAAAAAATAAATCACAAAAAAGAACTGGAAGAACTACTCTCCACCTTCTTTATAAAAGAGCTTTCTCAAAGAGAGACGCTATATACCTTGTTCACCACTACGTCAAAGCCTATCATAATCACCTCAGTTTTCACATCTATTCTACCACATTTCATGCTCAGCTTCCAAGTATCTCTTATAAAGGAGGTGGGGGTGTGCTTTAGACAGGTTAAAAATATGCTGCACCTTTACAGTATTTAAACAATTACACCAAGCATAGTTCATACATTTATCACATTAACTATCACCTGGTAACCATACATTTAAAAAGGTCTAATGTATAGAGTATGTAATACCCATGACAGATACTCTTACTTACTTAAGAGCATATAAAGATCAGGATTCATTCACCCTCCCCATCTACAAGTTAATTTCTCATCTCTTCCTGGTACAATATAAATGACAAAAAAAATCCCTTCATTCCATTGCACTACCGCAACCCTATATGCATAGAAAGGCAGATTAATTATCTGTAACAGGGGAAAGGAAGAGGGGTTTGTAAAAGGAATTTGAAGAACCTCTACTGCACAGGTAGTTTAGATGTTACGTACATGAGTTTCGTTGTTTGCTGTTTTTTTCCCCCCGATTTTTTTTCTTGAAGTCACATAATACATCCCTACACAAACATAACTTGAGTAAGTGCAAGCAAGGTTGTACATAGTACTGTAGACACATTATTCTTGACCAACAAAAAAAATTCAGCACAAGAGACTTGAACACTAGCACAGTGACAAGTCTATGCTGAAAGCCCATCTGGGGTGTGGGAAGTGGTGAATGAGAATGCAAAGCACATTTCTGCACATAACGTGCAAAGGCTTGATCTCCACAACTGCACTCAATTTGCTACATGCACAGCCAGAGATGAAAATGAGATCAAAACCAGCTGGGAATGGTTGTCCTGAGAAGATACAATAACCATTAAAAAAATATCTAAACATAAAATACAAATACAGAAGCAACAGAACATTGTTAATAATACTAAAAGACAGAAACACACTGTTGTTGTTAAAAGAAGTTTCAAGTATTATTCCAGATCCAATTTCAATCCTACTCACAGGAGAAAATGCCCAGAGATTAGGAAGAGAAGTCCACACCAAAGTGTATTTTTAATAGCATACAGGCAGGGTCAACAGACCCAGCCTTGTGACAGCTATTTTAAAAAATAAAAATCTAAACAGAAATGCATCATTCTAATTAGCATTCATATTAAGATGTGCATTACTGGAAATAGTTGTTTAATTCACTGACACCAGTAGACATGATGTGCTGCATCGTTTGTGCTCCATTATATCACAAGATATCGTGTGTACACTTTTTAACATTGAAGTACAAATCCTGCTCGTAAAATAAGGCATACTTAAAAACAACATGGTATCTACAGAGGTAACTTTGTATGCTTTCTTCTCATTCTGTTTCACTCTTCTCGGTATGATAAAAAAGAAAAATTGGTCCCAGTCAAGGTTTGTGAACATTATCTACCAGATTATGATGAAACAGACTGGATCATATCAATTTGGGGGTGGTGGGTTGTGCTGGGATTTTTTTTTTTTTTTTAAATAATACTTGGGACATTTCCTGAATGAGCTCTGCAGAAAGCATGAAAATAAAATCTTTGTTTTATGTCAGTGACACCAGTGTTCCCCTTCATCATCCCTATCCCTACCCAGAAATGCCTCCATATTGCTACCGTTTGTCCAAACTGAGTAATTTTCTGTAAGATTGTTCCTTCCAGTAAAGCTGCTATATTCTGTTTTAAATTATAGCTTTTTCTACGTTTTCACCAGTGTCTGCATGCTAGAGAACAGCTGCATGGCAGAGGTACATATTTAGCATACGATATTAAACCAAAAAAGAAATTAAAAAAATGAACCAGTGTGTCCTACTGGCTGCTCTATGTCAAAAGCACTGTTTGGTCTTCTGATATAAAACACTACAGAAGTAATATTAGCAGAAGTCTGTTCTGCTTCAAGTATTACCCCAACTTTCAACGTGATTTTCAAATTTTTGTGCAATTATTTTTGTAATTTAATGTGAATAAAAACATCAACACAACTAAACTAAGAAAAGAAACTGTACTTCTTTCACTATAACACTGCACATATGGTAGAAGCTTTTAAGTTCAAACAGCTGTTTAATGGACGGATTTATTTTTTTTTAAAGTGAATATTAATGTGGTTTCTAGCCCAAATGCAATGGGTAGTGACAAAATATCAGACTACCGCAAAATGCAGTTACAAATATACACTGACAATTTCCTTCTTAAATATTAATGGCTCTTGAAATATCCATCAGATACTTTTACAAAACATTTCTATTTTAGTCTAAGGATTTTTCTTAGTTTCTTCACAAGTAGTGCAAATACACTCCTTATTCTTAGGTCTTCCCAAGATATGGCTGGTTTTTGTGTGTGACATTTCTGTTCATGTTCTCCACTGAAGTGATACAGGGACACTGTAGTCATGAGGATGGAATGCAATGCTTGCTGGACTTTCTTGGAAAAAAAGAAAAACTACCTTATTCATGTACAGCTGTAAAATTCTACTAATTAAAAAGTTCACACCAGATTACCTGATGCAAAAGTTATTGAGTCCCTGCTATGGGGGAAATGAGAAGATCCCCTGAAACCTTAAACTGTACAAGCAGTGTGTCAGGTTTTTGTCCCCTCTCTACAAACTACAAATATTCAGTTCTTGAATCGTGTTTGTTCACAAATGTGATTGAATTTCCTGAAATAAAAAAAAAAAAGTATTAAAATGTACCAGAGTTCTCGGAAGTCAGGCAACAAAAGAAAGTAAGTGATTTTCACAGGGTATTTTAAATGTTAAACAGTTTAAAGCACAACATTTACACGCTAACATATCTGTTTTTCAGAACCTGTTTAGATCGTACTCTACTACCATGTTATCAGTAACACGATTTTCAACATCTCTCCTGCCTAACTTTTGTTAGTTTTATTATGCACACCAGGAACCTGTTATTAAAAGCATTCCTTTATATTTCTACATACTTCCAACCCAGAAAGCAATTAAAACAAGAACCAGTGAACTAATTTTGCCCTGTAAGACATCGGTAATTTTTAGTAGACAGCATTACACAAGTCATTAGGAACTAGAATTAACCAGGCAAATAATACATTTCAACGTAAACATGTTCTTTCACTGTCTTAGAATCTTATTCTGGAAAGAAAAAGATAATTTTTTTTCTCATTTTGTATTATTTAGGTTTTATGGGAATGGCAAGCCCATCTTTCCGAATTAAACAGATAACTTTGTACGAAGCACTCCTTTCCAATTCTAAAAACATCTCACTATTCATCCTTTGCTATTCTCTTACGTGGGTTATGCATCCCCTCATACGTAACTGAAACAAGAGTTGGGGTGTTGAGTGTGTATATACATATACATGTGGAAGAGATGATACAAAAGAGACCATGAATTTTCTCCCTCTTGCTGAATTAGATCAAGGCTTAAAAATAAACCTTGCTTACAAAACCAAACTACTTGGCAAAACAGTTTAGCTCAATAAAAAAACCCCGTAACTGGACATCTAGAATTGGTATGACAGGATTATTTGCTTTTACGGATTTTAGCAACTAAGAGCAGCAGCCAGCAAAGTTCTAGGAACAGCTAATGCTTGAAAGAAGAAAACAAACAAAAAAAAAAGGACAAGAAAAAGAAAGGAAAAACCCCATGAGTCTATACTAGATGGAATTACATGAGTCTATTCTAGATGGAATTATCCACCACAATATGAACAAAAATGACTGGTGAGTGCTTTGATACCAAATTAACTTTCTAACATTTCAAACAAAATCTACTCTGGGAAAAGAGGCAGTCCTGTAACATTAAGTTACAGATAGCAGTGGTGCTTTAAAGTACATTTGCAACTTAAATCCCGAATTATTTTTGAAAGTTATTTGGCAAAACCCCCTGAATTTGTAAGAGGCAGGGGATGAATATTTTACAAGTCTTTCTTATGATCTGCTTGCATGGGCTGTACAGACTGGTTATTTTCAAACTGTAGTACCTGAAATATTAAATGAATTATGCTAAGTGTATATGTTCATTGCAGCGTTAGAAAGATACTGCAGAATCTACTATTCATTAAAGCACCTTCTCAATAAAGGGTAACAGTGCCTCATCTTAAATTGCACTGAGAATTTAGAGAATAATTCATAAAGCAAGAAGGATTTTTCTACCCTCTCTGGAACCGGTTAGCTCTTAGGTAGATAGTTTTTATTTTGTTTTACAACTCTGTAATATTTGTCTTACCACACATGCATCTTTTCCTAAAAATGAAACTGCGTTGGTTATCAGTGGCCTTGATTTTTATTTTTTTTTTTTTTAATCAAGGACCTTGATTTATTTTGGATGGACATTTCTCATGAATGAGCGGATACCAGAAGCCCATGTCCCCTAGATGTATTAAAACACTTGATAAGTAGAGGATTAATCTCTTTTCAGGCTCAATATTTAATTTTTACCATATGCCTGATTGCTTGGGTCAGAGGCGTAAGATCTAGAAACTATTCCAAAACCAGGAACTGCTAAGTCACACCAGGTTCCTAATGTTACATGTTCCAAACTTCTCTTGCTTCTCTTATTGCAGATTATTGCCACCAATTTATCCCTTCCAAGTATGCTGCACTTCACTTGAAGAGCCTCTCTTATAGTTTCAAATGGAAACCGCAAGGTGCTAATTATTGTGTACAGTGTTTTTAAGAAGCACCCAGACATGAGCAAATGAGAAGCTGCTTCAGTGGGAGAAGAACAGGAATGTAGAGTGAGTTGTGGGTAGAAAACAAAACTCAAGAAGCGTCAGCAATGGGTTACATAAACTTACAACTTCTGACATGCATGAAGGGCTCATTTCAAAGTTGTATTAAAACCAAAATGACCAAAAAAAGTTTTGTTTATGCTGCAACAGTGTTACTCATGCAATTTCTGGCGCTTCAAAGGTTGGGATTTTTGTTGTTGTTTTTTTAAAAAAGAAACAAAACCCCAAACCACTTCATAAATTGTTTAACTTACATGGCATGATGTGCTTTGACCTGAGTTCGACAGTTGCGCCCCCAGTAGCAATCAGGACGTGATGTGACAGTAACTACAAAAAGAGAAAAATCAAATGCTACATTTCTTACAGAAGTCATTAAATAAGGTGATGTAGATCTGCTAATGGTGGTTACTCATCAGCAGAAGCTTTGTAGACATGATTGGCAAGAAACAAATGTAAACTATATTGGTTCACCTTTCTAGAAGCAAAGCAAACACTTTGTGAAGGACAAAAAATTACTTCTGAATTAGGCTCATGCAGACTTATGATGAAAGGATTTGGTTCTCAGTGCTGTCAACTGTAATTTTACAATTTAGTTTAATAGAGATGGACTTTACAGTTCGAGACACTAGGCATACGTCTAGATACATTTCCATACAAAAGAAAAAATTATTAATTTGGGTAGAGTTTGTTGTTTTTCCCCCACTTCAACATACATTATAACTCAGCTGTCCAGGAAGCCATTACACTAACATGAAAAGCAATCCTAAGGAGAAACAAGGCAGACTGACTGTCTCTCATTATGCGCAGCAGCAGAAGCAGAGTTCTCAGCTGTTAAAGACAGGGAAGATGTTGCTAACAACAGGAACGAGATGGCCAAAAGTAACATTTAAAAGTAGACTGCTGGAAGAGCTTCTGTTCCCCACAGATTTGGGATTGAAGGAGGCACAGTTGCTTGCATGCTATTTTATACTAAAACTGTAAATGCAAACAGATTTGGAATTTATGAAAACATTCTTGTTCCTTGCTGAGAGCTGGTAAAATGTGAAATTGTTTGGGAGGTGCATCATTTCATGTATTTAAATGGGAAAATAAATCAAATTACAGCAACCGGTTCTTGTTGACTATATTCTGGATTTTACTGAATTCCTCTTTCCACTATGCAGATTATTCCATACATGACAAATCATACTGAAAAAAACGATTCCATTAGGGAGTCTAACAATAACTATATGCAAACTTAGCAGCTGAAAAGTAAAGCAATCAGCATAAGATACAAGCCCTGCAAAGAGACTTGCACTGGGCTACGTGAAGATGATAAAAAACCCCAAGGATACAACTGACTTAACTCCCTAAATGACTTTTCCCCCCTTACTGTGCGAAGCAATCCCCACCTGGCAATTCAGCAACAGGAATATTCTGCCTGTACTGGTAGGCAAGTTCTCGAAAGCTGCGAAGGCCACAACAGTAGCAAAGCACTGTGTTCCCAGTAATTCTGTAATCTGGGGAGAAAACAGGTTTGTACATCATGTCACTGTAAGGCTTGAGAAATCAGATTTAACAAAAATGTCACGATGGCACTGGTTATGTACACAGAACTTCAAACCTCTTGATAATATTACTGAGTTATATATAGACAAAGAGTTATACATGGACAAAACTGAACATAACACATACCTGACAACATAAAAACTCCTCTTTGAAGAGCTAAGAGACTTTCGTTTAGCATATTTTTCCACGTCAAACCCCTGGATGCCAGGTAATCCTGAAAAGAGCAATTTCAGTGTTTAATCTAGAAAAATCTAGGAAAAAAAACAACCTTTAAAGAGTGTCCAAGCCATTCACCCTCAAATATTTCCAAATCTAGATCTAACTAGGTTTTCAAAATGGGCTGATGCTAAGTAAAAATTAAATACCTTAACTTAATTAGCATGATACTTTCAGATCATCAAACCTTCCACTCAGTATCTTTTTTTCAGAAGACTCCTACTTTTGCCAAAAGAACGCAAATAGATGTGTTTCAGTCACACTCCTATTTACCTTAAATCAAGATTTCATCCCGTTTACCCGATTTAGAGAACCCCATTATGGTATGGGCAAAATATTTTCCATGCAACCTAGCATGAAATTTGTTGGGAAGAAAAAATATTTAACAAGTCTTGTTTTATTGGTATATTTTTAGTGAATTATTTTTCTCTTTAATTAGTATTTTGGATTTTACACTTTAGAGTATAGGAACTGGCTTCCCTAATAAATACTTCATACAAGTAAAATTCTTGGATGATTTAACAACCAAACATATCTGAATTCTACAGTACATCTACCAGTCATTTAAACTCAAATTCAGAAGTTATGTCTAGAATTCTGGCCTTCTTGGCACCTGTCAGACATACACGTTGGAGAAATTAAACACCAGGATTGCACGAAAGGGATTTTTTTGTTACTGTTGTTAATTTGGGTGATACAAGAAGATCTGATGCTAAATGGAATGCGTCTCTAGAATACAATGGCCTGTTACGCAGAGCCTGAAAGGGCCAAATTATCACTCCCAAATACTTCCAATCTAGGCACAGTAACTACAACTGTGATCCAGCTGAATGTTTGGGGCTCATTAGATTTGCCTTTCAGAACCAGGTTCTGCAAGTGACACAATGCTGCTGCTCTCTTAGGCAGCATATCACTATCATTTCTTGAGTGAGTACATGTTAAATTTTGTACATTCATTACTACACATGATACATAATGACTTTCAAACATACCTTTAGGATATCTGACTCGTAGTGGTTGTTATTTAGGACGCCATCTAAACACTTATCACCAAGATTTATTTCTAATCAGAACAAGAAGAAGAGAAGTTACTATTTCTTCCCCCAACCCCATGGCCCTCACGCATTCTCTGAAGATTCTTCTGTTTCCTGAAATAATGTGCACAAACTTACGTGAGCATCAAGTAAATGACTGCATTCAACATATGCTAAAGCATGTGATATATAACTTCCAGTGGCAAAGACAAGCTATTGAGATTCTGCAATTTCACCTTTAGTTCACAAACACTACTACTAATCTGCACAAATTAACAATGCTATTAAAGCATATTCCATTAGCTTCAAACTGCAGCGAAGTCATTTCAACTGTTCTAATTTATTTTTTAAAATGTCTAAAACCTGGAGTTTCAGAAGTCTGCAGTGCTCTTGCAGGCTGAAATACACCATAGTCCTTTTTATACGGGAAAGCATTGTGCTTATAGTTTTCAAACCAAATATGGTATGAAGACAAGAATTTAGATTTTCTCAAAGTTAAGACACTTACCACTGAAGATTTTTTTTATGATTGTGATGTGCGGACACAGCCTTTGTTTCCTTTCGCATGACTGTGCTACAAACTAGTCTATTCTATTTCTGAAATTACCTAAAGTTCAAGACAGACAGACATAATTGCAAAGTGAGCAGGCTCATAAAAAACAGATTATTCCACAATACCACAGAATGGTGCCAAACAGCCAAAACACGCCATCCGAGTGCAGCCCCAATATAAGTGACAGAAGGGTTGCAGACAAACTGTACCTGGAAAATAACAAAGAAAAGCCCTGTAAAGACCTGCACACAACAAAACTCAACAGTTATTATTCTTATAAATCAATAACAATAGAGCCCTTGGCTTTAAAGAGTACAACTTTCTCATTTAAAATACATTCTATAGAGGAATAATAAGTTTTACAAAGGAAGATTCATTCATGCTTTTCTTCTTACAAGAGTCCCGATAAAGAATATTCAAATAAAGAACACTCAAAGTAAACTTAAGTTTAATTAAAAATAAGGAGAGATTTAGTTCTGTAGCCAAAATTTTATTAAAAAGAGAAAGTACACACATTGCTGAGGAGCAACATGAGGATTCTGTTCACGCTCTGCTCTTCGGTCAGGCATTGGCTGAAAGCAGCAGGTACATATTACATGGCTTCCTTGAGCAGGACATACATATTCCTGGACAGCTAGACGAGGTAAAAACAGGGGGGGGGGAAAGACAGACTGAACAATGTACACAATTGCAATCTGGACTAGGAATCTTAGTAAATATTATCAACATAGTAAGTAGTATTAACATAAGTAACAAGCAAGCAATCAATATCATTTTATCATTTTTACAAAGATACCATAAAAGAGCAGAAAAATGGCCTAAACCACAACAGTGGCATTCAGGCTTCTAAATTATGTCAGCGTGTAAAATATTTCAATATGTAGAACAGTTGAAAAACTATCAACCATCAGCAATCCACTTTGGAGAACCACAGAAAAACCCATGGTCAAATCTCATGATATTTGCAAAGACACCTATGTGAAGTGGTGTTACTCTCGTAGTACCGTGAGGGCGAGCTTGCTTAGTTCACAACGGGTGTATGAGTTGCAGTATTTTAGTATCACACTACTGAGAAGATTTCATGACACTGACCTGCAGGGAAGTTGGCTGATGTAGATGGTGCATCTCCCAGTGCTTGCATTCCTCCTGCTTCTGTCTCTTGGCCTGTGCCAGGCAGAGTTGGAACAGAGTGTCTTCGATACCCTGGGCACTGTCTGCATACTATATATGGTTGACTGAAAGAATAAAAAAAGGTCATAGGAAATCACACACAACAGATGCAAATATAACTAATATCCCTATGCTAGACAGGGTTGTTCATACTTTCAAAGTTTAAATTTGGAATTTCTTCATCCAGTAACATATGGAAGTTTATATAACTCAGTACCTCACAGCTGTGAAGACTGCTGTAGTTGTAACAGATAAAAACTTTGTATTTTGCAGTATTCCCCAAGCAGTTTAAAAAAAAAAAAAAGAAAAAGAAAAAAGAAAATGAGAGTGGTGTGACTGGAAGGGAAATGTACAAGAAAGAGAGGAACAACACTCAAATAGGCATCTACAGGAAGAGTTTTTCTGTTCCCCTCTAGAAATACAGCAAAAAATGTTTGCTATTGGAAGTGAAGATGAGGTATTTTGGTGCCTGGGAATCCCTAGGTCAAGCACCAGCTGATTCATGCCATGCACCTGGTGAAAGCAGCATTCCAGGCATATAAGAAAGTACAATCATTGCAGCTGCATTCATAGGGTCATGGACTGCTTTATCTCCTGACTAGATCTTAGCCAGAAACCTGTTTTCTCTAAACCAACAGCCAATTTGTAATTAGAAAAGGCAATTTCATGTATCTTACATGAAGCAGTTGCATAATTCAGGATAGATCTGTTGGTTGTTAACTGATTCTGGCTGGACTTCTAGGAAGTTCTAATTTTAATTATTTTTTTATTGACTGCTCAAGGTTCAGTAGGATAGCCAGTAGAATTGCCAAGATAATTATTGGTAAGAATGAACTCACCTGGAAACAAAAATAAGATTCATTCTGGGAATGATCATGGAAAAACTACCAGCTGTAACAGTGTTTATGAAACTAGCTCAATTTGTGGGTTTGTGCATTGAAACATAAGTAAATCTAATTTAGCACACAGCTTAAATACATACCTGATATCTGAAGATTCACTATCTACATCTGACAATTCCAACAAATCTTCAGAACTTCCTTCCTCGTCTGAAAAAGATCTCCGCACCTTAGGTTGCAACATGTCTTGAGTAATTTTGTTTCTAGCATCCATGCTACGTACATCATCTTCATTACGACATTTATCTGGCATGAGAACCAAATTAAAATTTCAAGAGAAAAGAATAGCTTACAACCCTTATCCCCACCCTACTTTATTAACACAGTTACAATTATTGTGCTTTCGTTTCCATAAAACTTATTTTTAGATAAAGAAGTTCTAGAAGATCTTAGTTACATTCCCCTCTCTGTTAATGGAAGAGTAGTATCAAGCTACTTAAGTTTTGTTTTCAAGAGGCCATGATCAAAGTTCATTAAATTCATATTCAAGTATATTTTTCAGAAGTATCTAAGTTTGGGTGGCCTAATCAGTCAGTGTGCCCTATTTCATAAAACAGATATCCTTCTCACGATTAAGCAACAAAATAAAATTAATAATTCTTAGCATACTCAGTTATATATTAAATCACCTTTAACTCTCACCCAGTATTTGAAATATCACAACAAGTTATTATGTCATATTAAACGCACTTGTTTTCTTACAGCCACGTCAGAGAAAACAGCAGAGTAATAATGCATACATAGAAATTTAATAGACAACAGTCTGCACATACATCAGTTATGCAGCTCATGTGTGAAATACATCAGATTCTGTTACTGTTCAACTTGCCTGGATGCTGAATCAGATAAGCTTCAACCAAGTTGTTCAATATGTGATTTTTACAAATGCGTTCTACTGGACAACGACAAGTTGGACATAGAGAAGATCTTTCCATCCATCCTGAGTAGCAGGCAGCACAAAAAGTATGCATACAAGGCTGCAAGCTGGAAAACACAAACATGAAAACAATGAAAGAAATGGACTCAAACCACAAATCTCTTATTTTTCAGATACATTCATAACACTCAAAAAACCTGTTTAGCATTGATTTGACTACATAGATTGGGGTGGAGTGGTGGAGAAGGGACTCAGAGGGCTTGTGAAAACCCTAAATAACCTGGCCTCCTCAAACAGTTGTCACTGAACATCATGTATTGTTACCACATGATTACAGCTTTTGTCAGTCATACATACCTTACACAGTCATGCAGCAGTTCTTGGCAGATAATGCAAGTTAGTGTTTCTTCCATCTTATCTGGTTTCACATTTGATGTTTTTGCATCTTCAAAGCCAATTTTAATTATACATTCACTTGGAGCTGCTGGTGAAAGATTTGGACAAGCATCTTCATCTACAAAGACAGAAGATTCCACAGTATGTAGTTTTTGAAGCTTTTTTAAAATCTTTAAGTGTTAAAAAAAGACCTGAAAGATATACACTGATTCAGTGTTCACTGGCAGTGGTCCCACTAAAGGTTCTTGTTTTAGACATAACAGCTTCTGCTACTGAAGACATTCTTTTCACTGGACCATAAATCTAGTCAATATGAAGCAAGAAACAAATTGAAGGAGGACTGACAACAGACGACCTGACTCAATTTGAGGCTGGGGGGAGTGAGAGGGGAGTTTTGCTTTTCTTACTTAATATAATACTATAACGTAAAACAACATTGTGAGGAGGAAAAGAGTTACCTATCCCCTACTAACATAATTGTTCAAGACCTTCTAAGTTTGATATGTGTGCATTTTGAATTTATTTCATATTAATAACGAAAAATAAGCACAGAATCTTATGTTTCTGTTAATCTCACTGGGCCTCTATGAAAGATGGACATAACTTTAAGTTTTTTAAACTAACTTTCAAGAATAACATTAAAATAAAAGTATGCCAGGGTAGGTTGTGCAATACTGTAGTATACTAGCCTCCTTTTAGTTTCTTCTTAGCAGGTTCCAAACCTTCCTCCTCCCCTGTCCTTTGAGAATCTGATTCTGCTTTTTCTTTGTCAGTGATTTCTGAAGTGATTGCAGAAGGTTCAGTATTCATATCCAGCTTTTCATGTTCGTCCTGCAGCGTTCTCAGACACACAGATTCCAAGATGGGGAAAGCAGGCACAGGAGTGAAAACTGAGGATTGTGATCCTGCAAAATAAAAACAGAAACATGAACATAGCTGCATACAGATTGGGACATGTGAAAATAACAGGTACTCAAACACTGACGATACACACACCAATCCAAACATCTAAACAGGAAAAAGTGGAGCAAAAAAATCAATGTCTGTGTAACTATACTACGTGCACTCTGAGCCGATCTGACTAACTGGAAAGACCTGGGGGGCAAAAACAAGCTATTAGTTGTGTAACCCTACTTAAAATCCCCATTCCTCTTTAAATTGTAGAGTATTTATTCATAAAACTATTATCCACACCAGGTCTTCCTGACAAAGACGCCAGGCAGAGGATTTATGCAATACTGATCATACGTAACAGGTCAGGATCACAGTGGAGGCCAAAGCTTTGTTTTCAAGAGGAGCATGTTTAAAAAGTCCCATTGAACTGTTGACAAATGTTATTTTCTAGCTCTTGCTCCAGTTCTATTCTAAGAGTTACACAGCATTGTAGTGTTACACTTGCCAACATAATGCAGGATACTAGACTAGGGATCCATGGGGTATATTTTGACCTTAGAGCTCCAACCAAGGGAAAGGGGACTGGTGATTGGCAGCAGTAACAGTGACAATTAGAGCAGTTTCTCACAGTGAGTGCACGAGCACAAGCACTCATATCTACTCAATTTGTTATATGAGCCACACAGATTTGCTAAGTTTTCACCAGTGCTCCGCTACAAAACCATACAGTAAAGACAGAACATTTTGGGATTTACATGTATTTTCTGTCCCTGTGAGCATAAGCAATTCTCACAATTGCCTTACTCATCCACCAGGATTTACCCTACCTGATCATAGAGAGAAAGTTAGAATGCACATATCCACCTGGTATTTTCACTAGAACTTAACAAAGCAAATGCTAAAGACCCAGATAGGGGTAAGAGATTAATCTGTTAAAATTCAAAACTGGAGTTACAGTTGATGGGATATCAAACTTTAAATACT